TATTTAACCAAAAATAATATTTTTAAATACTCTATATTTGAGGAATTATATACAGGTATTTCCCGTTCTTAATACAGTGAACAAATTCAACACATACTGTTTAAAATTTACATTTTATCATAGTTAAAAAGTGTACCTCTGTGATATATAATACCGTACATTAAACCTGTAACATTTCGTTACCCAACAAAAATAATAAAATCAATTTTACTTCTCGCGTACGCCCTCTATGTCGAGTTTGCCGGAGCGGACGTATGCAAATAGCCATATTTCTTTGGTATTAAGTTACATTGCCGTGAAAATAGTGTTACGTTTCTCATGTAAATATTTTCTTAATTTTCTAAAATAATATTTCTCTTTCTGGAGTTTCGGATGAAAGCGCCGTGACGTACGACACACATAATGGCACTACGTGAGACTATTTTAACTTTTCAAGCAGTGGAAATTCTTTTAGGAATTATTTACGTTCAAAAAAGTTGATATAGAGATAGCAGAAGTTATATATGAAAGTGTGAAGAGTTTTCTTTCGTCACATTTTTTCAAATAAACTTAAAAAAATACTATTGCAAATACAAACCGCTCATAATGTTCGGGAGACTTTCTTGCTCCTGTATCGCTAATTACTTGATCAAGTGACGTTTTTGGTTCCTCAATTGGCAGTAACAAAGTTTTCCCAAGATGTTGATTATATTGTAAACACCAAGCTTCAGTAATACTTATATTGCAATATTGTTTTATCGTTTCCATGGATAATCTCAACCAGACTCCATCATCGTTGTGAATCTTAAAAAAATAGGAAAGTAGTACAATAATCCGGAAAAAAATTAATATTATTATACTTTTTAAACAGGTCTGTGAAAAGTATTATAGGTTTACTTCGTTCGTCAGATGTCACGTTTTTTGTTCGCATGAAGAAAATATATCAACTTGAAACTTTCGGGAAAATCAAGATTTATAATAGGACGAAGTCTTAATAAAAATGGAGGGGTTTAAGGGGGGTTAAAATAGTAGTAAAATTCAAGTTTACTTCTACTTATGAAGGAAATTAATGGTCCTATCTTAAAATGGTGAGAAGCCTTGCAGAAGAAGAATATAAAAACTATTTTAATAAAGAAAAAAAACAGTTTCAAACTCTCTCAAAACAAGTTAGTTCTCTCGTAAAATGACTTTTCTTAAAATTCAATAAAATTGAAATATAACGTTAATAAAAGTGTCTTTTACGTAACTAAAAAAAATTAAATTTTTTTACCGTCTGTGAGACGAGATATTAACAATCAAAATGTGCATAATTAACAGTATTGAAACCTGTCATGTACATAAGCAATGCATTTATTTCAAGATATCTCGATAACGGTTCTTACCATATTTTTTAAAAACTAATGTAATGTAAATCAAGAAGTTATAAAATTTTCTAAAGAAACGCTGATTTTTTTGACCGTCTTAATAAAAAGATATAGATTTTTAAAGCAGTCGACGCGGCAACATCGTAATTGCGTAGTAACATAATACACTCATCAGCTAAGAGGTTGTTATAATCTCGCGACGTACTCTTGAAAAATGAATTCGTCTACTGTATTTGAGAACTAGAATCATCGATTCTATTTAAAGCAAAACAAATCCTTAAAATTAGTATGAGTAAGTCACAAATTTCTATAATACACCATTCAAATATTTGCGACGTTGTCGGATAAATTTTATTTGAAATTATAACGTATCCATATATACAGGGTGTTCCAGAAAAAAGTGTCATAATTTTAACCACATATTTAGCGCCCCAAAACAAACAACTTGTGGTATGTATTTGAGATTTTAAAGAATTTATAAACTATTTATACGTTTGAATAAGTTTGGTTTTTTTCTTCTTTTCAATGAAAGAGAAACAGATTTAATTTCGTTAAAACTATCATACAAATCTTTCTCAACCACTCTGGTAAGTTTATATCGTCCTCCGAAGAAAACTTCTCTAGAAAACGACCAACAGCTTTTTGAGGTACTTTCAAACCTATCTATTTCGCATGACAATCTTGTGGTGGTTGGGGATTTCAAACTGGGCAAGATCAATTAAACAAAAAGCTGACATCTTTGCAGATCATCTCGAAAAAAAATTTCAAACGAATGAAGAACGAGGACTCGATTTATTAAAACAAGAGAACACAAACATAGTAGAAATTCCTAGGGTAACTCCTCAACAGGCAGCTAAGGAAATCATAGAAAATATCAATTCTAAGAAAGCACTCGGGTATGATCTGATTATAGGTGAAATACTAAAACAATTGCCAAGAAAAGCTGTGTACCTAGCATCTGGAAAGTCACTGACATTATAATGATACGCAAATCTGGAAAACCACCAAATGAAGTGAAGTCATATAGACCTATATCCCTGTTACCAGTTTTATCTAAACTTTTACTAAAAAGATTGAAACTACTGACAGACAGTAAAAATATAATACCTGAACACCAATTTGGATTTAGGAACAAGCATTCCACTATTGACCAAGTCCACAGAATAACGAATGAAATAGAGAAAACACTAGCAGAAAAAAAGATCTGCACCTCACTCTTTCTAGATGTAGCTCAGGTTTTCGATAAAGTATGGTAAGAGGGCCTTAAATATAAAAAAAATAAACTTCTACCTAGACAATATTGTGACATCTTAAAATCTTACTTGACTGATAGAATCTTCCGAGCTAAACAAGTAGAAGAATATTCCAAGCTTAAAGAAACTAAAGCAGGGGTACCTCAAGGAACTGTCCTGGGACCAGTTCTTTACCTTTTGTTTACCTCTGACGCAAAATGTGAAAGTAGCTACATTTGCCGACGACACGGCCATACTTGCCATCGGTAAAACCATAAAAGAATCGACAAGAAAACTTCAACATGTAACTAATAAAATCTGTGAGTGGACAAAAAGATGGCGCATTAAGCTCAACGAAACTAAAACAGTTTAGGTTAACTTCACTAATAAAAGATCAGTAGAATACCTACCAGTAACATTAAGTAATACTAGAATACCATATTCTAATTCGGCGAAATATTTGGGAATTAACCTAGATATTAAATTAAAGTGGAAAGAACACATAAAGAAAAAACGGGAAGAGTTGGGTATTAAATATAGAAAATTATACTGGTTGATGTTGATGAATAGAAAATCAAAACTTCCAATCGAAAATAAACTTTTAATATAAAAACAAGTACTGCCATTTAAATTTTTTGAAAGGGTTGCTTCCCTCCAGTAAGGAATGAAATTGGGGGTAAATTATTCATACAAAAATGTACATTGTAGAAATCAAAAATCGACGTGTCTCGGCGATTTTCCTAACAAGACTCCAGTAACAAGTTAGTTAGGGGGGGTAAGATTTATGATGCTCACGGTATAGCATAAATTCTCATCAACAGTTTTGTGTGCTTTATTGATTTCCATAACATATTTAATGACAAAGAAAAAACTTTTTATTTTTCTAAATTCAACAAAATTATTATTTAAATAGTTTTTACTGTTTCTCAAAAAAAATTTTATTTGTGACTTAAGTTAACGAAATATTACTAAAAGTAACAAATAAATTATATTATGCAAATATATGCAATACACAAACCAATTAGGCCAGTACCCGCCTCAGCTGTCGATGAAAGAGAGACGTCCCATTAGACTGCGCAGAGAAATTATTATAAGTACAATTGTCTTTACATAAACAAAGAAAGGGATGCGTACAGAGATATTCTATGAAATGGATGAGGTACTTCTTAACTTCGACCGTCTTGAGCAAACTGGACATCTCGAAAATTGATAATTCATTTTGAGCCTTCATTTTTAGTCCGATTCTTGTGAAATTTTCAGGAAATACCAATAATAACAAAGCTTATGGAGGAGAAACCTTGAATTTTTGTAAACCTTCTCAAAGTATTTATTTTAAAAAAATTTAAAATGAATTTAAAAAAAACATTTACGAGACATTCTGTATTAAATCTATAAAAATTTACTGCTTTTTGTTTTAATAAATATCTAGTAGTTTTTAAATGGAATGCTTTCCTACCTTTTTTTCTTAAACGTCTCTGTAGAGTGCTGCCTTATTGTTGCATAAATTTAAAGCTCTCAATATTGTCAAGACACATAATATCACGAAGTATTCCCAATGAAACACATATAAACACAATTTTACGTTATAAAATGCTTAAAACATTTTTGCTTTCGCGAGAGGTTCGGTTTCCTCTTAATCGACACACACACTAAAATTAAAAATAATGATCGGGCGTGTTAGCCATTTGACCTGTAGCAAAAAATGTATAACATTGTGAATCATGTATTAAAAACTTTGCTACATTATATTTGAATTATTTCTTTTATCATATGGTTAGGGTTATTTTAGGGTTTACAAATATCAAACAAAAATGGTGAATTTTCAAAATTTGTATTTGACAAAAGTTGTTTGTTTTGCTGAGAAAAATATAATAAATACGATTTGAAATAGTATATTATTAAACGAGCAATTTATGGTAGCCATTATTCACGCAGGGTGACGTTTGCGTCCCGAGCCGTAGGCGAGGGGCGCAAGTCATAAATTGCGAGTCTAATAATATACTTTGTCCATGACCATTATGGTTTCTTTATTAAATAAAAGTTTAAGTGTAGAATGGAAAGTTTTTATTAAACATAGGTAACTAACTAACTGTTGTTTTTTCGACTTTTCGATTTTTCGTTTTTATCGATTTTTTTTCGATTTTTCGATTTTTTTTTTCGATTTTTCGATTTTTTGATTTTTCCTTTTTTTTTTTCGATTTTTCCATTTTTTTTCGATTTTTCAATTTTTTTCGATTTTTCCATTTTTTTTTTTTTCGATTTTTTTTTCGATTTTTCGTTTTTTTTTTTTTCGATTTTTCGATTTTTTTTTCGATTTTTCGATTTTTTCGATTTTTTCGATTTTTTGATTTTTTGATTTTTCCATTTTTTTTTCGATTTTTCCATTTTTTTTCGATTTTTCAATTTTTTTTCGATTTGTCGATTTTTTTTCAATTTTTTTCGATTTTTCGATTTTTTTTTCGATTTTTCCATATTTTTTTTTCGATTTTTCGATTTTTTTTTGATTTTTCAATTTTTTTCGATTTGTCGATTTTTTGATTTTTCGATTTTTCCTTTTTATTGATTTTTCGATTTTTCGATTTTTTTTCGATTTTTCGATTTTTTTTTGATTTTTCGATTTTTTTTCAATTTTTCGTTTTTTTTTTTTCGATTTTTCGATTTTTTTTCGATTTTTCCATTTTTTTTTCGATTTTTCGATTTTCGATTTTTTTTTCGATTTATCGATTTTTTTTTCGATTTTTCGATTTTTTTTTCGATTTTTCGATTTTTCGATTTTTCGATTTTTCGATTTTTTTCCATTTTTCAATTTTTTTCGATTTGTCGATTTTTTGATTTTTCGATTTTTCGATTTTTCCTTTTTATCGATGTTTCGATTTTTCGATTTTTCGTTTTTTTTTCGATTTTTCGATTTTTTTTTTCGATTTTTCGATTTTTTTTCGATTTTTCGATTTTTCCATTTTTTTTCGATTTTTCGATTTTCGATTTTTTTTTTTCGATTTATCGATTTTTTTTCGATTTTTCGATTTTTTTTCGATTTTTCGATTTTTTCGATTTTTTTTCGATTTTTTTTTCGATTTTTTTTCGATTTTTTTTCGATTTTTCGATTACCTATAAAGAATATTTTCATATCAGTTTAGATATACGTGCTGTCGTGACGTCATACCGTGACTAATGGATCATTATTCACTAGTGAATAATAGGTATTATTATTATTCTTAAGGAAGTACAAGTAAAATGAATGTTTTATAGAACAGTCGTGGACAAAATCGTTTTTTAAAAAAATATATTTTTATTTAAACAAGCACAATATTTTTATGACTATTAATTGCAAGCTAACATCTCAGACTGAAAGTAAAATAAAAAAATGTTAAACACTTGTTCAGATATAACAAGTAACTTGAACTACCGACTGGTGGAATTCTCAATCTTTCTACTATGTAATTTGCGTTAAATACGTGGTTAAAATTATAGCACTTTTTTTTGGGACACTCTGTATAAACTTACATGTGTTTTGTACAGTCTCTTACAAAAATAAAATTGTTTAGCATTGACAATTTCGAACTTTTGGTATTCACCATTATGCGATATTTTTGTGTACGACTGTCGCGACTTCAAGAAAACTATTCCAAATTTTTAAAGAAGCCTTTTACCGGAAATATTTATTTTCTCCCTAGCAGGAACCATAATAATACTACTCTCCCTAATTCACCCTCTTACGAGTGAATTTTAACCCCAAAAGCTGAGCTTGTCCGGGGAAAGGGACGGCTATTACTATTATTTGCCGTGGATTATATACATTGTTACAACTTACCTCATCAATAAACGCTATAGTCCCATTGACATGCACAATACCGATTTGTTCACTTTGCAAAGAAGGATGAGCTCGAATTCGCAATCCAGCTGAATTTTTCGCCACAAATTTCCTCAGTTTATTAGGCTGATGTTGAGACTTTTTAGCCAAATTTTGATTCGGAGGCGTCATACCTTGAGGTGATTCCTTCACTTCGACTTTAAAAATCTTAAAAAAAGCTAGAGTTAGGTTAGGTTGAAAATGAGTGGGATGATCTCATCGCCTTCCACTGCGACCCAGATGGGTCTATTGGAGCTCATGACAAACTAGTCAGAGTTAAATACAAGTACCTATTTAAAAAAATTGTGGTTAGAAGTTACCTCTTCCATATCATATCCATCAATGTTAACTAAAATCGAGTAGCAACCTACTGTCGCTGGGGTCCAAGTAGCGTTATAGGAACCATCTGAATTGGAGCGCACCAACATATTTTCTCCCGATCGTTTGATGGGTGGAGAAGTATAGCGCAGTTCTTCAAAAGAATAGTTTTGGAATGCCTGAAAAATGTATTGCTATACAAGAAGAAAAAACACAATACCAAAGAAATATATTTATCATTAATTATTGAAAATTCTTCGTGAAAAATCTTCGTAATATAATACCAGTACAGTATATAATTTTAGAACAATACAACAATATATAATACTTAATAATTGAGTATTATAATACAATAATAAAAGTGATACAAGTCCAGGACTAAAAAAAAAAATTTGAGTGATAGGATTCTGAAGTTACGACTGTATATTATCACAGAAAAAATACTGAAATAACCTTCAGCTGGTCCTTTACAGCCGTTTGAATTTTTTCGACTGTCCCAAAATGATTTTCCTTGAGGTGACTTTTCAACTTTGGGAAGAGAAAAAAGTCACAAGGACTCAAGTCAGGCGAATAAGGAGTCTGAGGAGCCACAGGAATGTTTTTACTGGCCAAAAACTCGTTTATTGAAATTGCTGTGTGACAAGGAGCATTATCGTGATGCAATACCCACTTGTTCTTGATGTTTGGTCTCACACGAATTACCCTTTTTCAAAGTCTTTCAAGAACCTCAAGTGTGATTGACCGTTTGACCTTGGGGTACAAACTCTTTGTGGACGATTCCGTGGATATCGAAAAAACAAATCAGCATGCATTTGATCTTTGACTTCGTCATACTTGCCTTTTTTGGCCTTGGAGAGGTTGAAGTGTGCCACTCCATGCTCTGGCGCTTGGTTTTTGGGTCGTACTCAAACACCCAAGTCTCATCACCAGTAATGACACGTTCCAGAAAATGGGGGTCATTTTCAATTGAATCCAAAAAGTCAAGGCACCTTTCCTTCCTGATGTTCTTCAGGTCTTGTAAAAGGTTTCTTGGAACCATTTTTGCGCAGATTTTTCTCATCCCCAATTCATTGGTCAAAATTTGATGAACGGTGGTGTGAGTCAAATTTAACTCTTCCCCTATCATTCTGACTGTCAACCGACGATCTGAACGCACAAGATCCCGGTTTCTGTCGACATTTTCATCGGTTTCATCTTCAATCGACTCTCTTCCTTCTGAAAATGCCTTAAACCACCGAAAAACCTGGGCTCTTGACAAAACACTATCTCCGCAGGCCCGCTGAAGTTTCAGAAGAGTTTCCGTTGCACTGTGCCCAAGTCTGAAGCAAAATCTGATAGCACACCGTTGCTCGAAATTGATGTCATTCATTTTTAGAACACAATAGAAAAAACTGTTTCACAAAAACAATCGCTACGCACAACCAAATGACTCGAGCGATGGTGGATCACATGTTCCTCTGCCGCCCCACTAAGCCCCGCGCTTCCAGTGTTGCCAGATCAAACGCAACGTTGCCAGATTTAAAAGTTTTCAAGTCGTTAAAAGTAAAGTGGGATCAAACATTTGTCCAATGGCAGAGAAATAATGAGAGAAAAAAGTCACCCAAAAAGAAGTTTAGTTCATTAATAGGACAAATTTGGAAAGAAACAGAACCTGAGACAACTTGCAACAGTTTTAGAAAAGGTGGCATTTATCCTTCTAAATCTAACGTAGTTACCAAAGAAAAATATGATCCTGCAGCGTATAAGAGATGGGAGGACCAACAACGTAATCCTGATCAGATATTGAATAACAAACAAAGTCACTCGCTACAGCCAGGAACGTAGAAAAACCTGTAGACTTCCAAGAATTACTGTTGGCTACGATTAAACAATCAAATCCTACTAAAAATGTAAAAAAACGAAGAGTGGCTACAAGTGCGAAGGCCATAACAAATGATAAAGTTCAAAGTCTCATATAGAAGCAAAAGTCAAAACTTTGAAACAGAGAAAAATGGAGGAAACTCAAATGAAAATATTATATTTAACGACAGTGAGGAAGAGATTAGAGAGATAGAAGAACTCGATGCATGCATGACGGAAATGGTTAAACCTTTGACAGATATAGATAGTAATATACAGATATAGGAGTTATATTTAAAGAAGTTTATTTCAAGTCATATCTAAAACAGTTATGGAGATTTAAGTTTATGAAGAATTAAGTTTATGAAGATTTATACCTAAGAGTTTGGTGCCATCCGAAGACCGAGGTTTGGTTCACCTATAGAAGATCGTTCAAATCCAGGATTAAGAATAAAGATTCCGAATCACTTGAAGAATGCCTAGTATACTGTGCAAATCACCCCAATATAACTACCTCCTGTTACAACAGATAATTGTTACTTAAAATAAATCATCTAAGTTTGAATTAAGTAAATCTCTGTGAATTAGAATTTGTTACTACCTTATCTAAAACTTGGTTTAAATATAATATCTTAATGGTTAGTGATTTTCTATATTTTTATCACTAATCTAAAGTCAAGTATAATAAATTTTAAATATAGTGGTGCCCAACTTGTTTTTCAAGGTAATTCGAGTTATTTAACAACCTGACCCACTCCCAAAATCAATTGAGCTTAAAACACTATAACAAATAGATAAAATAACAAGTATCACGTTACATTTTTATTTTTACATACCTTCATAACTGTAATGGAGTGGAAACACATCTTATCTCTAATCGTCGGTTCATAAGGTAAATGCAGTGGAGGAGGTGGTAAACCACCGAAAGTCATCATATCTGGTTGACTTATTCGCCTAATTTTTCGCCCAACATCACTGTCACCGATTTCTTTTTTGTCAATTGGTATAGCTTTTACCTCTACTTTCATATTGGGTACGAAAACCATGTCTCCATATTGATCTCTATAGAAAAATTTATATAAACATAAAATAACGAAAAGTAAAGGAAGAAAAAGATACACATTAAAACGAAAGGCACTAATTTTAACGTGAAATTCTTATATTTAAATATTCCCCTTTTTCCGACCGTCATTCTACGCATCACTGTCTTCAAAAAAGAACAAAATTCGCCTAGAACAATGTCAATGTACTGCAAGGCAATACCCCATGGTATCTATTCTTGAATCTCAAGTAGTAGAAATTTTTAGGAAAGACTGAAACAAAAATACCAATTTTCTGGGTTGCATATTAAGAGGAAAAACCAATTTTCCACTGCAACCGCTGGGTGATAGAAAAGCAAAAGGACAGACAAGGCAAACATTTTTTATAATAGTAAATTTTAAATTTAAATAGAACATACCTTGTGATGACCATAATGATAGCTGGCCAACCACATCGAAGATCTTCCCTTGAGTAGACAACTTGACATTTTGCAGGATCTACTCTGCTTCCCGGTTGAAGCCATTGTGCTAAACGACCTCCACTGGAACCGGCGACGCAGTTAACGAAGTCTCGAAGGAAGAGTTTTTCGTTTGAGTGGACACTGAAAATAAAATAATTAATGTTAAACTTTATTGTGATAAACAATATCAATACCAAAAAGGTTAGGGGTCATTAAGAAATGTAGGTACATCAAAACATCCTACCGTTTTTACTTGCAACTGAGGCTTTGACGTTATCTAGGTTTGAACATAGATCTATACAAAATGGAATACTCCTCTGAGTAAAAAAAATGAGGTTTGCCAGAATTTTTTCTGAACTCTCTGATATTTCAACTAAAGAAATAAATGTAGATTACATTATAGCTGTCAAACGTCTGATGTTTAACAGAAATATCATTCGTATAAACTGGAAACTTTAGATGTGGTTGGCAGTAGTGCTCTCGCGTTCCTACTTACGGCCGAACAATTTTTGTGTTTAGGGGATTTTTGGTCATTACAATTTGTCTGACTGATTAAATATAATTTTGTAATAGTTATCTTGATGACATATTTAACTTGAGAATAATATTCTATGAAATATATGTAAAAATGCGCCATACTAATTTAAGTTAAGTAACTTTTATTTTTAGTTACCTTCCACACCTGGAACCTGCCCAGGTGTCACAGGGCGCAGGTATTCAAAGCACATGATACGCTGCTGAGAACTTAAGGTTTTGTCTTTGAGAAAATAAGTTCCCAGACAGCACACCAAATCCTTTGGATATCTACTGAACATCCCAATATCCACTGAATGTCCAGTCCATGGTTGATATCCATTTTATATCCATGAGATGTAATTTATAGACATGCAAATGTCCATAAATAATAGTAATTATATAGCAAATTATTAAAAAATTACGCCATTGTGCTCGCCATTGTAGCTAATAGTACCGTTCAGATATTTAAAATTTTAAGGTGTATTCAATATCTCATGGACATCCACTAAATATATCAAAGTCTAGGCGCGAACGCAAACCATCGTGGATATCCACTATAGTCTAGTTTTATGTATGAGAGAGTAATAAAACAGCATTTCTAATGCAAAACTTAGTACGGTCATTTTAAATATTTTTACAGAATAATCTAAATATTTTCTAAAATTGTAATAAATGTACCTGAGCTATTACAAGTTTTGGGTCTTTTATTGGTCCTTTATAAACATAAGCTGTACCGAACAATAGAAAAAGGTTTTGACAGGCCAAACGCCCTGTGTATTAAAGATTACATAGCCGTATCTTAAGATTATTTTCAATAAGTAACTATTTGCCAATTTTGTTTTTTTTTAATTCCAAGAATGTCTTACAGTAATCGAATTATAAGTAGATAAATACCTTCCCAACAAATTTCACCGAAAATGCGATTATAGGTTTTCCATTTAGTAAGGAGGTCCAAGTTGTGTATTCTTGACAGTTTACTAAATGTCGTTTAGTTGCAACTTGCAAGGTGCAGTGTGAATTCTAGTGTGATCATGGAAAATTTGGAAGGGCCGCGTAAACGACAAAAAATCGGTCCTTTAACACTTAATGAAAAAACATTAATGCTTAATTGTTTTAAATCATTTACAGATAAACATTTATGTAGAAGTGTTGATGACACAGTGGAATTAGTTAGTAGTACGCTTGGTGTTGGGAAATCTACGATTTACAGAGTTGTTAAAGAAGAGAAATGTGGCGAGTTTCAAACAGCACGTAAAGCTCCAGGAAAACCAAAATTTCAATTAGAAAATCTTTTGAAAGAAAGACTTCGAAGAAAAGTGCATGCGTTCTTCTTTAGAAAAGAATTTCCGACAGTAGACAAAGTTCTTGCCACGGTTCGAGATGATAAGGATTACCCTGAAATGAGTCGAAGCACACTAAGGAAACTTTTAAAAGAAATAGGTTTTCTATGGAAAAAGCATTCCAGAAAGTCTATTTTAATAGAAAGAAGCGATATTGTAGTATGGAGAAGATATTACCTATAAAAGAAATGAGAAACCAAAGAAGAAATATATTTTATTTAGATGAAACATGGATCATCGAGGGATATCAACCAAATAAATTTTGGTAAGATGAAACTGTCTATAATATAATTTATCTACTGGTTTAAATCCACCATCAGGAAAGGGGCGCAGACTAATAATAGTACACATCGATAGTTCAAACGGTTTTGTTAAAGGTGGTTTATTGACTTTTGAATCTACTCGTACCGGTGACTACCATGAGGACATGAATGCTGATGTCTTTAAAGAGTGGTTCAAACAAATTATATATCTTCTTCCTCAGAACTGTATAATAGTAATGGATAATGCAAGTTATCACTCGAGACTTATAGAAAAAATGCCCACAACCAAGTGGTTAAAAAAAGATTTACAGAATTGGCTAAATTCAAAGAATATTAAGTTCCATCCCGGTTCTGTGAGAAAAGAACAGTATCATTTGTGTTCCCTTCATAAAGAGAAATTCAAAAAATATGAAATTGATGAAATTGCAAAACATCGTGGGATGACGGTGGTTAGATCACCACCATATCATTGCGAAGTAAACCCGATTGAACTGATATGGGCACAGATAAAGGGAGAAGTTTTAAGAAAAAATAATTCTTTTAAAATGAGTTATGTTAAACAGTTGTTTTTGGAGGCTGTAAATAATGTGAAGCCTGAAAACTGGGAAAAGGCAGTAAATCATGCGATTAAAGAAGAAGAGAAAATGTGGAAGTTGGACAATATTACTATTGAAATGATCGAGCCACTCATTGTAAATATTGGTTGCGACAGTTCATCTTCTGATTTCGATTCTGATTTGGATTTGTAGGTAAGAAGTAGTTTTTATATTAAAATTATTATTTATGAACGTAACGTTGTTTAAAAGTCAAAGTTTAAACCCTTATACCTACATAACCCGTTTGACACAATGTTCTTAACATACCTTGTGGAAAAATAAAACATTTTAGAAAAAATTGCACTTTACCTTCAGCTGTTTAGAAGTGATAAGCAGGTTAATTAGGTGAAAATATAAGTGTATACTCGAGGAATAACTTCAAAAAATATTTTAACTTTCTACTAAAAGAAGTAGTACGCCTATGGATTACGAACGCTTCATTATTTTAATACTCTCTCATACATAAAAATAGACTATAGATGTTATTTGATTTTGCTTACTAAATATAGATGGCGATACCACTTACGCATCTACTCATGCTCGACCCGCCGTTATTGAGTTCGATCGAAATTTTTGTCATAATCAGACTTCATTAGAGACTGGAGTCGAGAATTTCAATTTATTGCTGAAGAGTCCTAATAAGGATGACTTTCTCCTTAGTGGGCAAAATCAAAGGCAGAGTGTTGAAAATATTTTGAGTGTTGAAAATATTTTTTCTCTGCTATTTTCTTTCGACGTTATTCAATAATCATTGGTTACTTATGAACCTCTACTAAATATACCCATAAAATATTTTGTTGAATATCCAAATATCTTCAATATCCTGGAATATAGACGGACATTTGGTTGGATATCCATATTGGATATACTGAATATCCACAAAATATATTCTGTGGATATATCTGGGATTTCTTGTATTTTCTGGAAGATACCCATTAGATATTTTGCTGGATATCTTCTATATTCTGGATATAGACGGACATTTGGATATCCATATTAGATCCACGGAATATTTCTGATATCCTGTGGATATATTGGATATCCACAAAAGATATTCTGTGGATATCTCTGGGATTTGGTTGTCTGGGTTATGTCTTATCGCTCTGGGATCTTACGCTAGCAGTTTCGACAGAATCGTAAAAAATGTGTATACATTTTTTTTTCAATACCTAGTATCTTGAAAACGGATGCGATTACGAAAAATTTTTACTAAGCAAATCTCTTTTTGATACACCCTATATATATATTCATATATTTTATTTCCTGTGTGCTAAATCATCCTCTACTTTATCACTGTAACAGTTTTTATAGATATTTTATTTATCTATAGTATCAACCAGCGATATTGACTTGTTTCTACTTGTCACTTCAAAGTTGAACCATTTCTTCTGTTACACAGGCCAATGCTTCCCTTTCTCACAACAAAGAACGTTGAGAGAACGCGAGACGCGGTAGCGATGGTTATCGGGCTGATAGATGCTGGTGCTGCATGGAGAACAGGTCTGTAATAACAAAATTTTATATGTATCACGTTTGTTAAAGTACGAGTACATTTTTTCAAATCAAGATTATATTAGTCAAAATTTTTGTGCAAATTGATATAAATAAATTATAAATTTAAGAATATCTCTTTCTTGCTTATAAGTCCTAATAACAACAAAACCGGTCCAAAAATGACGTCGTCTTTAATAAGCTAAATCAAAGTTAGCGTGTAGAAAATAATTTGCTGTTTTTCTTTGGATTTAATTCAATGCCAATTGAAGTATTAGCCAAAGAAGTTGTGTTCTGGAAATAAACTACTGATCGTAATATTTTGCAACACGTCTTTTCTTTATTTTATGGTTTCCTTTTTTATATTACTTTGTTTACACATCTGTTACATTTTCTGCAGCTTAAGTTTTGTGAGAAATTGTCCACTTTCAAATAGTACGGAAAAGTGTGTTTTGAACAGTAGCCGTAGAATAAATATTTCACAGTGACAAGATAGTGGTTTCTTTATTGTTAAAGGTATTAATTAGAAACGTCTCTGAATTGTTAAATCTTCATTTTAGAGACAAATGGATCGGGACAAAAGGATCGGTAAGGTGTCCACCACGTTCACCAAATTTAACGCCCCTAGCTTTCTTCTTTTGGGGATATATTAAAGACAATTTATACAGAAATACCTTTAATAATATTGGCAAACTAATGCAAAATTTTATACAGTGTGTTAATTCCATCTCCAATAACCATATTTATAATGCATTTCAGAATGTTTCCAAACGATGTCGCTCATGTGTTGCGAATAATGGACATCAATTTGAAAATTTAGTCTAGAGAGAGAGAATATATGTTTATTTTCCAAGTTAAAATACTTATTGACAAACACAATAGTGTTACACAAAGCACAAATAAATAAATAGTCATTAAAATATAAACAAATATTA